AGAAAGCTTCAGGCAGCTCCCCTGCCCCAGGCCCTGATTGGCCTGGGGGGTGGGGGACAGTGTGAAGCCTCCTTTGCTCTTCCCTCCCTCCCCCCCGCCCTGTGAGCAGCACATGACATTTCAAAGAGCCATGTGCTCCTGACAGGGTGGGAGGAGGCTTTGCGCGCTCCCCTGCCCTCAGGCCAATTAAGGGGCAGAGTGGAGAAGGCTTCGGGCACTCCCCCACGCCCAGGCCCTAATTGGCCGGGGGAGGGGGGGGGGCCTAAATAGGGTTGCCAGATGGCCGAAACAAAAATACCAAACACGCCCCCCCCCCCAAAAAAAAACCACAGAGAAAAAATTTTGTTGAAGTAAAATAAAAAGGGGGAAGGCTGCTGCCTGTGTCTGTATCAGAGCCAGTAGTTCGGGGCGGCAGCAGTCCCTGTCAGCCGGGGGTGGGGGGCGGAAGGCTCAGCTCCAGTCAACCTTCCCTATCAGGTGTTTTAGATTCAGACTGAATAAGAGACTTGGGAGAGAGGGGACAAAACCCATAGCCCCTTCAAGGATGCCCATTTCAATAAAAGTCATTAAAGGCAGAGGATTGTGAGACTGATGGTGAGAATAAGGCTCTGCCTGGCTTCACCTGCTTCCTGCTGTTACTGACAGCAGCTCCTGTCGGGGATGTTGGTCTCTGTTGGAGCTCAATGTGGGGGAGAGCAAACATTAAATAATAGAAGAGCCCTACATCACCCCTCACTACACCTTAGGAATAAAAACACTGTTCCTGCAGACTTATGCAAACGTTTAATTTTATGTTCTTTGAGCAGTCCTGTTTAGATCAGTGGTGCTCCTCTGAATACATAGAGGTAAGTAGATTCTGGGTCAAGGTGAGACGATTGTTGGGCTAAATAATGGTTTAAGGTATATTAATTTACTTAGGTGGCTTAAAAGATTGAGGAGGCTTCTTTAAGTGCACTAACTGCCATAGTTCCTTTTCTTGTATTCCCAGTCACTCCAGCACTTCAACCATATTCACGTCACCTTCTCTATTGAACTTAGCTACATATCCATTATTGTAGCTGTTGAGTTTTGTGCTACAGTGTATATTTGTAAATGATTTACTATAACATTTGGGTGTAGTGAGTTACTTTAAAGTTGGGATATTTTGATACTTCTGTTCTTGTATTGATTCAAATACATAACATGCGTTGCTTGGTTTATTCAGCACATCTATAAATGTTGGGAAATGTTTAAACAAACCCTAGGAGAAAAGAGATGATTTTGACAGTTTTGAAGATCTGGTAAACAATGGAGAGCAACTAAACATGGTATATAAATTAGCCCTAGGATTTTTCTAAGGAAAAAAAGACTCAGTAAGCTGGTAGGGGGAGCAAAAGCTTTCGTACAATTGATGGATGTGCATTTGGCTGGTCATTAGCTCATTGCATGATTTTTATTTGTGCACATGAATTGCTGACAAAGCTTTACAGATTTGTATGAACCAATGGGAAGATGGCTCTTTGCTATGCTCCCTATAGGCACCACTGCTGGTTTATTCGATGCGCTTGATCTCAGAGAAATCACCATTGAATTGAATAGCTCAGCCAGTTTGTTTCTTTTTTAATTGAAAGATGTAAGTTTTTCCAGCAGTATATCAATTCAGAGGTACTGGTAGCAGCCAAGGATTTCTGCCTTTTTGCCCTGTGCCACTGATATTTGCACTGCAGTGGTGCAAAGTGAGTGATTACATTTGATAACACCAGTGGAACATTCCATTCTAGTTTGCCAGAGCAATTTGTCTTATAATTGTGTCTCAAGAATTGCACTGAACACGTTGTTAAATCTGCTTTTCTCTTTATAGTTGGTAGCATCCATCGTCTTTATCAGCTTTGGTGTTGTAGCAGCATTCTGTTGTGCAATTGTTGATGGAGTCTTTGCAGCACGACATATAGTAAGTATGGGCCTTAATATTTTTTTCTGTTCGTTCGGAATGCTCATGGCACTTCCAGTGGGAAATATTTTCTTCTGGGAAATAGTGAAGTTTTACTTATTTTGTAGCTCTTCTTGTTGGAGAAATGATTTATTCATTAAAGATCATGCCATTTCTGTTGGCACATATCTGGGATGTGGTTTGAAACCCTGCTCTGGAGTAGGGACTTGAACCCAAATTTATCATATCCCAGGTGAGTCCTTAACCACTGGGGTATTGGGTATTCTGGGGTGGGTCTCTCTGTCTCTACTATTGAAGTTGTTCCATTTTATAGAAATAATTAAATTTCCATTGGTACCAGGACTGGAACCTGGCTGTCTCAAGTGCCCTGAGGACAGACTACAAAGCCTCTCTCTGTTTATTATTATAAATGAAAATGGTACATGCAGAGGAAGAGGAATTTTAATAATTCGTTATTTTTCAAAAACATGCTTGTTTTGTGGTTATTACAAGATCTAGGTTAGTCGCCTTTTCTTGGTGCTGGTTGGTATTATATTTCAGCGGCGCAAAATACCTAGTACCCCTGCTGAAGGTGATTTATATTTACTAAATATTGTTATTCTAAATATGTGACGTGTCTGTGAGCTTTCAGTTTTTCCTGAGCAATGAGGCCACATGTTGTTGTGTTTTCCTGAAAATACAGTAATTCCAGGAATCATAGTCCTTTTCCTGGTTCCCTTACTGTTCTGGGGAGTAGTAAAATGCTCCAAGTCAGTACATTTACTGATGTATCTGGACAGCTGTGCTGACCAGTGTGGTGTACAGGGGAAGGCTGTCTTACCTTCTCTTCTTTGGTCTAGGAATGTAGGTGCTATGCAGAGTTTGCCTCCCCTTCTGCCCTCTGAATGGTGGTGTAGGTAGCTGGCACAAGGAAGCACTTTATACCCAGTTACTCTCTTGTGTCTGTATATAGGACAGAACAGGATTTTGGCTTAAATTGAGTGTCAGTTCAGTTTTTTTGACACCCCCCCCCTTTGTCTTTTCATATACTTTTGTGTCTATCTTATGTATGCTATGGTAACCTTAACATCTCTTACATCTTTGCAAATCATTCAGGAGAATAAAGCTGTTATTAAAATAAATATAATATGAATCATATATTCATGTATGGAGCGAAATCTACACATATATTAGTTGTTAAAAACTCGGTAACTGGCTTATGTGAAATCTGTCAGTAGGAGTAGTGCAATTTAGCATTGTAAGATGTGTATTTTGTTGTTTATTCTCTGGCTTAACCCTCATTTTGAACAAGTGACCATTGTGTATTCATCCAAAAGTGTATGCAACCGATCAAGATACTAAAGTTAGAAAAAGAATGTCATCTTCTTTGATGCATAGTATTATGTCTGAGTTCATAGTGTAGGCAAAAATCTCAAACACAGACAAAAACAGTCCTTTAATATTTCTAGGCACTTGCTTAGTCATTCTTCATTCTCTTGCCTTTCAGCTCCCTGCACTTACATTTGCTCCAGAGACTACATTGTTCCCTTATCTTGGTCAAATAGTAATATCATGTTAGTATATGTGACTACTTTCATATCTGAAGAAAAATGTCTCTTAAATAATGCCTACCATTTATAGTCTTTCAGTGTTTATCAGAGTACAAATATCTGCATGCCTCTTCCAGTCATGGCATGCCCTTGGAGTGGCCTTATTCACACAGGTTTGTGAAGTTGAAAGGGGAGTTCTGATGGCAGACTCTGAACATAGCATTCAAAGACTTGTCATCACAATGCAGTATTAAGATGTGAGGGTGATGCATTGCCCTCAAAGAGAAGCCCACAGTAGTCCTGGGTGAATTCAGAATCCAATAGGTCAGTGACTCGACTAATTAAGCTGCAGGTGTCATCTGCTCAGTGATAGATACTTAACAACGGTGGACAAAATGCAGATATTATTGACAATATAAGTGTCCTTGAGATTTATTCTAAAATGAAATACGGCAAATTCAGACTTGGCATGGAAACCTTTGGGGGAAATCAGTGGTGTTTACACTGTTTGCCTATTTGAATGGAGTCTGAGTCTGATCCATTTGTCTTTCTCCAAAGACTTATTTAGTGATATCACTTTGATAGAAAATTAGAGATCCTGCAAAACTTATGAAAGTCACCATCCAGCTTATTCCATTTGCAGGACATGTCTTCATTACTGACTGGATTGACAGGCTGCAATCGATCCAGCGGGATCGATTAGTATAGACATGATACAATCTTTTATTTTATATATAAAAAAATATATTGCATTTAGTATAGACATGATACAATCTACTGCCAAGTGCTCTCTCTTCTACTCCAGTACTCCTCCAGAGGGAGAAAGCACTAGCTGAAGCCAGGAAGGAAGTTTAAAGAGGTAGAGGGTTTCCACACCGATGGGCCCGCTGACGGGGGGCTGAGGAGGAAAGCAGCAGTTGCCTCAGAGTCCAATAATTCAAAGGGGCCTTAGGCTCCGGCAACCATGCTGCACACTCTGGGCAGTGCTAAGGACTTGGGGGCATTGCTTCTGCCCTCATCCCCACCACTTCTGGGAGCACAGAGCCAGGGCCCTCCACTGTGCCTAAGGGCCCATGGAGTCTGTCCGCTCCATTGCCCTTAATCTCTATTGAGATCTTCTGGTTAGGCAGACTGAACCCTTTTCCAGTTCTATAGAGAAGAGCTGCAGCACAGAGCGGCATTTCTACCTTACAGGGAAGCCATGGGAGGGAGCGCCAGAAGCCATAACTTGGAATTTCCAGTCACCTATGCAGAAATGAGGTGACAGAAAGTCAGGGCATTCAAGCCATTTTTTAAAATGATCCCAAGTTGTGAAACAATATTAGCCTGAGAGCTGTAGTAGTGTGAGGGTGGGGAAAGGCAGAATTAAGATAATAGAGTAGCCTGGTTCAGAACTCCAACAAATACAACATAACCTTTCACACCAATTAAAATAAGAAATATCCCTTATTTGTCTTTCATTTGTGACTTCATTAAAGGAGGAAGAGATGGTAACAAAGCAAATAAATCACTACGTTATAATCCTTGTCAGTTTGCTCCTGCTTATGAATGTAGAGGACTTTTTTTGCTCACTTTCTCTTGCATTTTATAAATCTGTAGATGAATTCATAAAACACTTTATCTGTTTTTCCTTCTTAAAAAGACATAAAATTGTCAAAATCCTGCCTAGAAGGGGACATTTTTCAGAAAAGATATATTTAAATTATTTAAGACTCATTTAAAAACACTTCATTTAATAGAAAGCACTGGAGCAAAGCACTTATAAAATTAAAGACACTGAAGTATAAGTAGCTTGATTTAAAGTAGCACTAGCTCATTTGAGAAATAATAGTGCAGATGTAATTTACTGCATAAGATTCATTTCAGTACTAATCCGTTCAACTGCACTTTTCACCTTAAAAAAGAAAAGAAAAAGACTAGAATCAAATTAAACAAATCAAAGCCATGGGTAATGTGCAGTGATGTTATTTCAGAAAAATATGGAGATTACAGGATTCCATTATCTGCAAATCATGTTTGCTTGAGGCATTTTGTTACCTAGCAGCAGACTAGAACCCCGATTATGCAAACATAAGAACTGTAATTTTGAGTCAAACCAATAGACCAAAACATGTCTCTGACAGAGGCTAGTACCAGAACTTCAGGGTAAGTGTACAAAATAGGGATGTTAAATATTGGTTAATTGAATTGTCGATTAACCTCGTAAATTCTTATTGGTTACTTGACTATTCTATAGTCTTTGGGGTGGGGCAAGCATCAAGTGCGCTCCACCCCCCCTCCTGAGGAGCCCTGTACCACTCCTTGCTGCCTCCCCTGTATCAGAGGCAGCAGCGCAGGGTGCCAGGCAGGAGCTGGTCCACAAGGGAAGGCAGTTTAAAAACCAGCTCCCATTGCAGACTGGCTGCCTGTTGCTCTGCACTGCTGACTGGGGATAGGGTTGAGCACATACAAATCCCTCCCCCACCCCTCGCCCCACCCCCCGGTGCAAGCCTGACTGACTGCCTGGCTCCTAATACATTTTAAATGCAGAGCTGCAGTAGGGGTAGGTTCCGGACCCAGTGCGAGCCAGGATTGAGCCAGACTGCTGGTGGGGCGGGGGAATGGGGAGGGGGGAGAAATGCATGTAGTCTACAGCATTAACCGATAAGCTTTTGCTTATCGGTTAATTGACTACACTAGTACATCCCTAGTACAAAATAAGACAGTTGGAGCAATTCAGCCTAGACTTCCACTTCTGGCTTCTAGCAGCCAGAGGGTAGGTCACCTGAAGCATGGGACTGCATTCCTGACTATCATGGCTGATAGACATTGATGAACCTATCCTCGTTAAACTTTCTAGTTCTTTTCTGAGCCCAGTTATCCTTTTGGTAAGTCTGATGTGACATGGCAATGAGTTCCACAGGTTAATAGTGTGAAAAAGTAGTTCCTCTTATTTGTTTTAAACCTGCTGCCTGTTAATTTCATTGTGTGACTCCTGATTTTTGTATTGTGGAAAAGCGTAATAAAATTCCCATATCCACTTTTTCCACACCCTTCATGAATGCATAGACCTCTATCATACTTCACCTTAGTCATCTTTTTTTAAGATGAACAGCCCTAATCTTTTCAGTTTCTCCCCTTATAGAAATAATTCCATAACCTTGATGATCTTTAAAAGCGACGAGGAGTCCTGTGGCACTTTATAGACTAACTGAAGTGTAGGAGCATAAGCTTTCGTGGGCAAAGACCCACTTCGTCAGATGCATGTAGTGGAAATTTCCAGAGGCAGGAATAAATATGCAGGCCAGGATCAGGCTGGAGATGACCAGGTGGATCCAATCAAGGAGGATGAGGCCCACTTCTAGCAGCTGATCTGGAGGTGTGAATTCCAAGAGAATAGAAGCTGCTTTTGTAGTTAGCAAGCCATTCACAGTCTTTGTTTAATCCAGAGTTGATTGTGTCAAACTTAAAGATGAACTGTAGCTCAGCAGT